TCACCAAATAACACTATACACAAAGTGGGCCAAGAAAAACATTGCTAATTACTGAAAATTACTGATAAAGTCCATTCTCTCCCCGGAAATCACACTTTTTCTGCATTTTTGAAAAGACTGAATGTAAAAATGACTTTCACATCTACTGCCCCTAGAATGGACTGGTCTTGTGGGAGCGTAAACACTTCGATAAGTTTGAGTTAGTTGTTTGTAACAAATTTCTCGAAAAGTTGCCCTCTTTTTAACTGCCTATCTTCAACTTAAATTAGTATTCCTTTTCGCATTTTTAAGTGTCGGAAAAAGGGTGTTATGTTCCAATAAGACATTCACTAGATATCGGTATAGAGATGTATCCTTGATTCAAAAGTCCGTCCATTAGTCATGACCACAGAAAACATAGCTGCTGAATCCTTGCTCGTGGGCTGACTACCGATGTACAATGTAAATCTTGAATCTGAATCTTGAGTAAATCTTAGCCCCCATGTGTACACCTTCTAAACATAGCTTGGAAAGTTTATTCTTCAATTTTATTTTCATCGGGTTCGGCCAATAACCTTTCAAAACCACCATCTAAATCGTCCAGTGCAGGCTGATAAATTTCCGCTCTCAAAGCTATATTATGCATACAACCAAACCCAACTAAAGTTAAAAACTCATAATTACCCAATTTACACCTATTTCAAAGTGAATCATGAAAAGAACGCATGAAAAAAAGCAAAAAATATTCACTTTAGAAAAATGTCTAACCCGTGGGACAACGCGGCTCGATGGTGAGCCGCGGAAGCGGAAAGCTTCGAAATGCGTCTGTCCCGCGCGCCAGACACGCAAAAAGGCGCGCTGTCGTCAAAGGGTTAAATAAGAGTGGAGGCTCCATGGCCATCATGCTGTCTGCGTATCGTTAATACTATAGTAGGAATATGTATAAAGCATCCAGAAAAAATGATTTTGTCTGTACAAACTCAAGTAATGCTGGATAAGACTTTTTTGTTGCGCTCAGGTGAAATATGGAGCGAAGCGAAATACTATCTCATCATCTACAGAGCTATCAATCTCGATTTTCTGATTTTTTTATCTTGCGCTACATTGAAATCCATGGCCAGTTGTAGTGATTTTTCTAGTAAAAAACCATACTCTATTTGAAAGCTTCACTTGCTTACTGTTTTACTCCCTCTAGTCAATAACCTTTGCTTGCTGCATATCGATATGCTCGCAAGATGACGATCATGGAGTTCTCCACCTAGTTGGGTCCTTCGCGTCGCGGTTCGGAATGACTTCAATTGTGCAAAAATTCTCGCTCCTAGTGGAGGCAGTACCATGCTTACGGCCCCACGTCATCATCATGTTTACAACGAGAATGTTTGAATAGCCTCGTGACTAATTTCCGGTGCCCTTAGTGATGAATTTCCGGAACACGAAGCCTGGCACAGGGCTAACAGAGCAGAGTAAATGGTATTCAGTGTAAGTCGGTGCTCACGCCTTTAATTGGAAGTCTCGATCTTTTGCTCTCGTTCTTAAAAGAAAATACCCTAGAAAAAGACTCAACTGTTAGGCAACCAAAGCCTTGGGCGGTACCCACAAATGTTTCGATGATAACACCATTGACAGATGTCGTTATCGGTGAATTTTTCCTCGAAGAAGTTATTATTAGTCGAGAATTTCTCATTACTGGCGGTCGGTTAAGTTTTGTCGTATAGTACAAAAAGGACCCTTCATTGAATCACAAACCTTGCTGGGTAGCGGTCGTGATCTAATATCAAGAAATGAACAAAATTCTCATCTGTTCTTCGTAGTGCCGCTAATGGGTCTCTATCACTAAACTTATCTTTCACTTTTGTCACCCTACTCTACCCTACAATCCCGTTTTATCGAATGGAACATACTGAACAGTCAAAGCTACGTCGTAAATACTGAAGGGTAAGGATTTCGGTAGGTAGTTCTTGATTTCTTCAGTTTCTTATCTCCTCTTATCAGTTGTCATCGGTTCCTGTCGCCCAGTACTTACGATCTCGTCATATCCTAGACCACTTTTCAAAATGCCGAGCTTTCAATGTTAAAAAGAAGAAACATGAATTATAAATTTACTGTGGAAAGACTATATCACGCAAGCACCACCCCCTGTAGGCGGAGTCTGTACCCGCCATCTGCCATGTGTGTTCCCATCCTGTCGCCTGTACTCTTACCAAATTTTAACGCTCTAGGTCCACGGGAACAGGAGTTATGAAATTCCGGTTAAACATAGATCCGACACACAGACACACCTACAAACCAATAGAAACACTCAGCGAATTATATATAGTGGGGTATTTACACACATACACATATACATGCATACATACATACATACATACATACATACATACATACATACATACATACATACATACATACATACATAC